GGCTTTAAAAAGGACTTGTTGTTTTCTGCTCTGTATAATATGTGATGGGCGAACCTGTAGGTGCAAAAAGATGCCACAGAAAAATGGCAGTATTTACAGTGCTAAAAGCAGAAGAGATTAAGCAAAAATTATACGATATATTTATATTTCTGGCAGCCATCTACCAGTCCTTTAATTTTGACAAAACTATGGCCACTTATACCAACTTCATTCTCATCAATCCCAAAGTTTAGGGTTCATATGGCGCTTTGTAACATTCTAAAAATGTTGGACTAATAATTATAAACAGCTGTTGTTTTGTTCATAATATTATTTACTAAATTAAGTAAGGAAATTCAATATGTTGCAAAGTTTTAAAGCACGGGTTATAGGGTACGTTTTGTCCCACCAACAACTTGCCCATGTTCTCCTGGCAAACTTTAGTCTCATGCTTATGTTTTTATGACAAGACAAAACTTTGCTATCTCTTTCTGATTGTTCAGCGTGGAATTTCCCATCTCGAAATCTTGAAAATAGGGTATTTGGACACTTATCGTTGTATCTGCACTGTCCAATCAAAGTGGGAAAACTTGGCTAGCCAGACCTGAACATCATAGCAGTCATTTTGAATGTTCTTTACTTGAAGATGTTTCAAATTTCAAAGTACCAGTAGTCTTTAAATTTCACTGCACAGATTTTTATACTGCCCTCAAAAATCCACATACAAATGCAGTGAAGTTTAAAGACTACTGGTACTTTGAAATTTAATTTAGAATTGTTTATGGACCACAAATACTTTGGTGAATCTTTTTCTGCGCATATGTGGATCTTGTGTGCTTGCATGAGATCAGATGTTTCATTTGTAGGAATACAAGACTAGCAGTTACAATTAGAATTCACAAAGTTGCAACATTGAAAAGTACAAATCACCAGTTTACAAGTAGTACACAAATATATGAGAACAAATCACAAATCTTTAAGTACAAATAAATCAGTGAGTAGGATTCAAATCACAAATATGTAAGTCATAATCACAAATTTACGATTATGATTCACAAGTCTTTGAGCACAAATCACTAATTTACGATTAGATCACACATTTTAAAGAATCTCAAATTTACGAATAGAAGAAAAAGCCACAAATGTGAGCGTGAGAATCAAATATCGACATATATGAATCACACATTTATAATATCCAATCATACATTTAAAAGGGCAAAAAAGTCTTCATAAACTTGAAAAAAAAAGATCATTTCAACCACGCAGACCTTGGTTGTGCAGAGTCCAGGTGTTTGGTGTTCTTCCGCTCCATGCCTTGTCTTTATAATCTGAATCTAATCATTTTGGCTGATATCATTTAGAAATTTCCACAACGGTTTACAGCAATTATTCATTTTCAGGTCAGGATTTGACTTTTTGTGCAAAGCGTAACGAGTATTTAAATCCTCCGATTTGCGTGGATTTAACCAAACATCAGGTCTGATTTGTTTTTAAAGATTGAAGCAAAAGGGAACCAAATCTTATTTTTTATTTTCTTTTATTTGGAAGCAGGTTTGCTGTTCTGGTTTGAACTTTGCAACCTGGAGGCCAGTTGAACGCTGCTGGAACAGCGAGCTACGATTGCATCATACAAAGCAGCAGATTACAAATATTTTACACCATCAAAGTATTACAGGTTTCCATTGGCCGATGCCTGGGCCAAGTTGAGCATATGCTCCACGATTAAGCATCCTTAAGTGATTTTTCATAGCAGGTTTCATTTACCCATGTTTAAATGTGCTTTGCTTAAGCCCATTGGCCTCTTATGTCAACATGCTGCAGAGGAGATGGCATTAAATGGATTTAGGGGGCTCTGTGTTCGTGTGCGGCTTTGTCTGTGTGTATGTGACGGGATTGCTTTCTGCATCTGACTGTGAATGCGTTTGTGCATGTTAGTGTGAGTAAATGTGCATGCATAAAATATTGTTGCAGACCTCCGTGTATAAATCCATAAAATGTAGCTCTCTGTCTATGTGGCTGAGGGTGGGGTGTTCTGCATGTGTGGGTGTGTGTGGGTGCTGTTCTAGGATAGGTCATGCAAGCCTGGCCGCTAATTCCAAATCAGCCACCTGGTCGCAGATTGGGCCACAGACCCCGTTTGGAAAAGAATGAGATTATTCTTAATCCCGTTTATAGACACCCACAGAGATCAATACTAAACTGCATTTAACTTGATTCGTCTGTAATCTATCACAAAGACGCTTACTATTGCATTAAATGTTGTTTCAAAAAACTAAGGCTCGTCAATGGCTGTACATGTTGTTTTTTTTGTAACAGTTAGGCTTTGAACCAGTTCTTAACTGCATAATCCAGCCGACTGACTCAGTTGACCTGATTTAAGATGCTAGTTTTTTATGTGTTTTTCAAGCCGTGTTTGCTCTTCTCTTCTGAAAATTAGCATATTAATTTGAAATTTCCACACAACAGGATGATTCCAGGCGCAATCACGCCAATATCCTCCTGTTTATAAATACACACGGCACCGCTAATCGCCGGTTAGATGTTTAAATCTCGGGGTGCAGCCTCACTCGTTCAACTCAAAGCAGGATTTCTCAGAGACATGTGTAGCAGAACCCCCCCACCAACAAAACCCCTCCCCCTTTCCATTTAATTGGTTTCATAAACAGATTAATTTGAAGGAGAGGGGGGCTTAATTGCTAATCAGCGTTTCCATGCAGCTCCAGAAAGAGTTGAACAGGATCAAGTGTGTTCTACCATTAAAAAAAAGGGAGGAGGGGAGCTCACAGCATTTACTACACTGACAAGAAGATACAAAAAAAAAAAAAACTCATAAAAGGTTGGAAAGGAAAGAGAAAACAAGCGTGTTTAAAGGAAGAAAGGTATGAAGACTAAATGTTTAATATTTCCACACATTACAACATGTTATCTTCTGTGATAGATCAGCATCAAGTAACATATTGCAGTAAAAGATTACATGGCTTACATAGATTTTCTTTTTATTATTCTGAGAAGTTAATTTTTTTTCTGTCACCTCTACTGACCAAGGAAAACATCACACATGTCAGGGATAGGGTTGTGCACAACTTTAAATCAGTTTGCTTATACAGCCATAAAATAATTTCAACACGTTTTCCGGATCAAACCTGACCTTCATTGTAAAGCACCAAGAAGAACCCATCGGTCGTAAAAAAGCCAAAGTCCTGCAGATGTTGGTTGCTGCTCAGATGAGACAAAAATCTTAACTATTTGGCAACATGCCTAAAACAAAACAATAGAATCCAGTGGATTGTGACACAATAAGGATAAACTCAAGGCGTCCGTCCCAATAGTTTTTAGATCGTCCTTTTTGAGGCTACATAGAACTGCAGCACCGGATGGGTTTAGCCGATGTAAGCAGACGTGGCAACATCTACCTCCAGTACTGCGAAACTAGTAGTAAGCCAGATGGTGTCCATCTACGCAGCTACTAAATGAGTCCAACCATTTTGTAATGCTGTTGGAAAAAATTACGGCTCAGAGGATAGGGCTAACAGCAGTAGTACTTCTAGCAAGGAGGTGTTCTCGTGCTCATCAACTTTGCAGTGTGCACCAACGGTCAGACTGTTTTCCCAGTGCAACTCTAGTTTTATTCTTCTTGGAATCAATCATCTTCTTGTCAGTCATCTTCTCACTCAACTCCGGAATTCCGTGCTCACTTGCCTCCATCAGTTCCACTTGTCGACCAGTGGTACGCATCCGCAGTGACGTAATCCCGGTCACATGTTGTGGTTATGGTAAATATACACAGGAAGGCTTTATTTACTATCAAATTCAGCTTAATGCTTAAATTATATTCCAAAACACTACAAATGTAGTATGCAACAAATACTACATAACCTCTGTCATTAAAAACTTGTGGTGGTGGCCTTATAAAGCTAGCCTGACGTAGTCCTACTCAATTCTAGTCAGAGTATGAGTCTGATACTGCTCCATAGAGCTGTGATTATGGGGCGTGTTTCGAACGAACCAGGAAAAAAAATGCCTCTGCACTAATTTGCACTAATAAGAGCAATGGAGTGCGTGACGTTAAGCGACGCATAGTTGTTGTCAACAAAAATCAAAGCGTGCAGTTTCACGCCTAGAATAGGAAGATGAGCTGTGATCGCGTTTCTCTGTTCCTCTTTTAAAATTAATTTGCTGTCGATATCTTCTAGAACAGACCTAATAGCAGAATCTACTCACCTCAACTCTCTAGCGGCAGCCATTGTTGTTGTCACCCAAGCGCTTTGTTGACGTGGTTGATTACGTTACTGTTGATCATCTGTCCATCATCGTATAAAGCCCGCCCTGACAATTTGATTGGCCCGCCAGAAATTGTGCGAGCATACTCGCGCTACTATGGAGCAATGCCAGACCGAACTTCCCGACCTCAAACGTTGTGGGCGGGACTAAGTTCGGAATGGCACCCAGGCTATTGTAAAGCTGCGGGGAAGCTTTTCTCCTGCATGGACAGGAAAGCTGGTGAGAGCTGAGGAGCGAATATGTACCATTTGTTCTCTAAATAGAAGACTAGATAAACAATTAGAGCTACCGCACAATGGAATCATTTCAATTAAGCTTTTTTCTTTGTTATAATATCCCGAAGTCGAGACCTAGATTTATATGATTCAACTTCAAAATGTCTTACCATCCTTTTTCTGACCTAGTTTGGGACAATTTACAGAGAAGAATTGGTAAACAGTCAGTCTTTAAATGTGGAAAGCTTTCAGAGACATACTCTGGAAGCTAAATAGCTGTCCTCAAAAAGGACTTCTACAGAGTATGTATAAACAGGATGTGTGAAGCCATAGCAGCGATTAAAACATTACAGTTTTAGTACAAACAACATTTTCGATTGATTTTCAGGATCTTAATATTTAAACCATTATATATAAAATGATTCTTAAATGCTTATTAAACAGCAGCTTCTTTTAGGGTCACAGCTGCTGTCTTCTTTTTTTAGTTGAGCGTTGTAATATTAAGTGTGGTGATGTCATTTCCAGCGGTGCTGAACGACGGGCTGATTCTGCTGTCCTTCCTGGAGGAGAGCCAGGTCGCTGCAGTGTTCCTGAACAGGAAGAGCCAGGATTCCCTGGAGACTGGCAGGCGAACAGACAAACTCTCACCTTCTGAGATTAAGGTACAGTGGATTGCACTGATGTGTGTTTGTGTGTTTCCAGGTTGAATTTTGTGGCCAAAAGAGGAGGAAGCATCACAACTGAAATGAGACACAAAAGAAAAGCGCTCTGTGTCCATGGGCCAGTTTTTATTTTTCTTTTCTCTTCATCCCACTGGATTTCCAACAGCAGGGACATTTTCTCTTGGATTGATAAACACATGAAGTCAGCCTCTTTTGAGAGACAAATTATTATTACCAGTTTAACAAATCTAGTCACATAAGTGATAGTAGTGATGGAAAGGTTTATATTCACGTTATTTGACATTTTCAAATGTATACGCCAGTTTCATACAAAGTGTTTCTGAAAGATTACCATGTTTTGCTGCTGTATTATTTATTAGCTTGGTGTTTAATGCTTTTTTTTGTTTGATAGTTAATAAAGCACTTTGTGTATATTTACAATAACAACAGAGGTACTACACTGCCAATGTGTGCAGGGTGTAAACAAGGAAGTGGTTACCAGGGTTAAGCCATTGAACAGCTCCCAACAAACTGTGGAAACACTGAAGAAAAGTTAAGATTCAGTGTGAAAAATACTTGATTCCAAGTGTTCACTGAAGTGAAAGATAAAGCTGCCGAGGTATTCACATGTGGCTGCTAAGTTGATGGATGTGTGTGTAAATTTGCTCATTAATACTGATACTAGTGATAGCAGTGCTTTTCTCAGTTTCTACACTTTATTTCCAAACAATATGATGGATCGATGAATAGATGGACAGATAAGTACGACATTTTCTTTACCTTTAAAATATATAGCTTTCTGTTTAGTTTTTGCCCTGTGGAACTTCTCTCAGAAGTATTTGGTTTATTCACCAACATCTGATGGGAAAAGAATGATGATGATGATGATGATGATGATGATGATGATGATGATGATGATGATGATGATGATGATGATGATGCATTTTAGCTTGGGATCTGCTCTTTTAATCTTGCTTTTAACCAGATGCTTCTTCAGATTTGAAGTATTCCTGCAGTTAGCTTTGTATTTCTCTTCCCAGATTTGGCAGAGTGAGTAATATATGCTGCATTTTGTGAAATGGGGCCCTCCTAAAAGCTTTCTGTTAGCCATCCTTGCTTTGTTTACTGTTGCAGCCTCTTCAACGACTTTTCCATTTCCGTTTCACAGTGATGTGTTCAGGTACCAAAACAAGTTTGATTTTATATCAGTCGGTACTTGGTAGTACCGAGGGTATTCGGCAAATACCAATAAAAGTGCTGACTTTAGCAACCGTCCATAGTGTTTTGAAACAAGAACATCCACCCTGAGATATTTGCAGATATTTGCTCCTAATGGAAAATATGTGATGATTAACTCAGTGAGATTTTCACCTGATTCTCCAAACGGAAATGACTGTGATCGCTGTTTAATGTGAGTCTCAGAAGCTGAAATATTCCCTTTAAACATTCAGTTTTTGATCGTTTCTTATAACCAAGAAAATATCTTTATTCTTTAGATAATGTTGTTTAGGTTGACTGTGATCATTGGGAGATTGCAGCCTGTTGCAGTAAAAATTAAGTTGTTTCCCATCCTTTTAAAACCATCAGTTACTGTTTTGGAAGCCCATGGAGCTGGTCACCTCCAGTCGTAGCATCTGGATTTAACCTCACTTGTTCCATGGAGAAGCTGTTTGTTTGGATGTAGGATTAGTAAGTGGGCTCCCTGTAAACAGGTTGGTAGAACAATCATTTTGAGACCAGATGTAATATAATGTTTACGTTGACATGTCCTAAATGTTCCTTTGTATTTCCTTCTGGTCTGGAAATGTTTTAATGGATGCTGGTAATAGATCTGATCAGGAGCAGTCCCCTTCTTCCCTAATAACAGCCTCCTTCCTCTGTAGCTCCTCACAGCTAAACCAGGCATTATCACATTACTGCCAGGCCCTTTTTTTTTCCAAGGTGTGCATGTGTGTGTGTGTGCGTACATTCATGATGGTGTGTGTGCGTCAATGCAATCGTTCCCGCCGAGCGTCTGTTTCCAGAAGCGGAGTCCTGATAAGGCACCACCTTCATCACCTGCACCACTCATTTCTGCACACCCTGTGCACCAGTGTCAGTGTACATGCACGTTCATGCATGTAACCTGCAACATACACACGTCAGCACACAAATACACACACACACATGCACAAACACGGACACATTGCCCTGGTCCAGTGGGCTAAGCTGGAAAAGGGAGAGTTGGGGGGTGCTTTTAGGAGGGAGGGGGGCTAAACTAATCCGGCCCACAGAAAGTGGTTTTTGATTATTGCTGACCAGCAAACGCCAGCAGAAAAAAAAAGAAAAAATTGAAGAGCAAGGAGATGGGTAGGGTTGGAGGGGGCATACGGGGGGTAGAGATAGAGTGTGTTATTAGACCAGTGATTTTTAAGGTTTTTTTTTCTTCTTCTTTTTCATTTCTAATCTGTCAGTGATCTCCAGTTCAGCTGTTTGGGGGAAACTCTTTGTTCCCTTTATCATCACATGTACTTCTATCATTCACAGGCATATTTTATGTCCAAGGAAAATTCTGCCCCCTCAGGGAGCAAGGAGGGCAGACACGGACCAGTGCATCTCAAATCTTCTCTACTCATACAACACAGAGTTCCTGCAGGTTTTTAGGCTTTTAAATCATTTTCTATGTTGATACATTCATTTGTAAAGAGATATTGCCATATTCATCCTCCTGATAGAGCGAGTTTTCGGGGCTATTTTAATATTAAAAGAAACATTTGTTTTGGAAGAAAAAAAATCTCCCATACATCTTCCAAATTAAATTCCGTTCCTCTCTTTTCTTTCCATTTTTCAATACTTTATTTTTCTTACTGCAATCTCCAAACTTCTCTTCAAATATGATCTCCTCCCTCTTTGTCATGGAAACTCTTCATTATTCCTAGAGATGTACCAAAACATCTGGTCAGAAACACAATCATTATCCACCAGTGAGGATGCCAGCAGTTTGTGTTGCCACTCTTCAGTGCAGACATACTCCTCCACCATTCCTCCTGCAGGATTCTGTGATGTTTCTGTGCTGAAGCTTTTTACTATCTCAAACTGCATCCTGCTAAGAATAGAGTGTTAAATATATGTTTTCCCTCCCCTTACCCAGCGTGATCCAATTATTTTTTTTTTTTCTAATTGTAAGGGTAGGGCCTTTCATGGCAGTAAGGCAAAGTCAAATTGATTCAAAGTTTTCTATCTAAGGAAAACCCTCTGATTGCATCGACTTATTGACTTAAAAGCAATCCCTCACACTAAGCATACTTGTAGCGACAGTGGAGAGGAAAATCTACCTTCAAACAGGAAGAAACCTCCAGCAGAACCAGCTTCAGTGTGAGCGGCCGTCTGCCGAGGCCGACTGGGGTTCAAGGAGGCAGAAGCAGAAATGGAGAAAGAAGCAGAGACACAAAAGGCAACTGTAAACCAGCTCCACAGTATACACACAGCCAGGAAGACGAGCTCGGAGCCAACTCCCATCTCAGAGGATGAAGAGAACACATCCAGCCAGCCACAGTCAGAGAAACAGAACTACACTGAAAAATAGGCAGAGCTTGAACATCTATAAACAAAGGTGTTGATGGCAGTAGCTCAGCTGATATTTTCTCTTCACTCATATTTCTGATGGAGTCACAGCCGAACAGGAACAGACCAGATGAAGCTACTATGAGGAAAAAGTAGACAGAGCATAGTGTTCGAGATTGAACTAACTAATTCTACAGAGTATGTATGACATCAGTGTTTTTGTGTTTCTTAGTTTTTTGTCTTATAGTTGGGCTGCATTTCCCTGAATTTCTCTGCGATTGTTAAAGTATTATTGAACCTAAATGAACACACTTACCAAGAGAAGACATATCAGGCAATCAGGGAGGTGTTTGAAATCAATTTGGAGGAAAGAAAAAGAAGCAAATTAACATGAAACTGTATTTTCGGTGACATGTCCAACATTTTTAAGGCTGCTAGAGAGCAAGCCTTTGATCAACTAACAGGAAGGCTGAAAAAACCCTGCAAGTTGCTGCTTCATTTTTCTGAGCCTTCAGCCTCTCTTTTACATAAAAAAATTGGTCAGCAGCCTTTAAATAAATTTAGCATTACCGGTAAGGCTTTCCATATTTTAGGTCTCACACAAATAAAAGGTTATTTTTTGGTAATGCTAGATGCACAAATCAAACAAACAAACTGTGTAAAAGCTTTAGCCAATAAGACTGCACTTTATATATCATTGCAATAATCCTGTACTTATCGACTGAGCAACTCAGCTGACTTCTATCGATGTGGAGGAGAAGACTCCATTCTGAGCCTCTCCCAAATGCTCCTCACCTTATCTCTAGCGGAGTGCTTGCAGCCCTTGTCAATGGATTGTCAAAAAGGTTGCTTAGGCTACTTCCTCTGCCTGATGCCCAGTCTTCTTTCCTCTGGTTCATAATGACTCCCCCTGCATGTGGTGGACCCACAAGGCCTCCCATAACTCATTTGCTCTTGGCCCGGTTCGGGCCCGTAAATTAGAACATGACCATCAGGCACTGCTGACGAACCCCAGCTCTGCTGTACCAGGCAACATTGCTTGCCATAATTTCTTGGTCATCATAAGGGCTTTTTCAGCTGCCATTTGTCTGACCCATCACGTAAAGCCTGTTTGCCTTGGGAGAACCTTCCAGGGGCATGTAAACCCTCGACAACATACTGTAGGGTGGCGGTTCAAGCAGGATTAAGTTCTCTACCACACATATAAAATTTGCTCCAGCTAATATAATAAAAGTTGTAATAGTAAAAGTTTTAAGAAAACATGCCAAGGAAGAATATTTTTTATATCTCTTGATATGTTTTTTTTTTTTCATTTTAGATCAGGCAGAATGTGTTCTATACATCTTATATAATATGTCTTATATGTCTTACTACTTCCTCTCTCTTTCATCTTACCTCTGCTCAAAAACTGGGTGAAAGTGTAAATCTTTGCAATCATGCAATAACGATGTGTGCATCTAGAAAAGCATTTACTAAACACGCTTCTGCTTATATTTCTATTTGCATGTTTCTAAACATACATGCTCAAACTTATGTGTGTCTCTGTGAGTCTGCTCCTACCTCCCCCCTGCAAGCGCCACGAGAGCTCATTACTGTGCGTCTCTTTGTTGTGGCCCATAGAGCGTGGCGGACCTTCCTAAAAAATATGCACATGGCTAAAACAACAAGCCCTCGCAGACATTAATAATGGAAGATAAAACACAACCTTAGACATCAACAGAAACAGAATGGGGGAAGGACAAGAGGTACATCTGGGGCTGAGGAGGCGTCAGAGCCCCGAGGTGATGAAACAGCAGACCAGGAACGTGAAGAAAAATGGATTAATCACTAATGACTTCCCCTCAAGATTTGTTTTATTCTGCAGGCTTCTTGACCCCTTTTCTCAGTGCAGTCAGTGAGGTTTTTGCATCTGTCGGTTTCTGTTTTCAGGTGATGTGTGCAGAGGTGGGCGGGCCAAGTCGAAGGCTTCACAGACACGTCGCTCTCAGCCGTCTGCAGGACATGGCACTCTGCTGGTGGAAACTGGACGAACTTAGTGAGGGGCTATGGCCCTGGAGCCCCACAGACACACACAGAAACAACCTCTTCTTGATAAGCTGCTCGCCTACTGAAGGACTCAAGGTATCACCATTCACACGCACCATGGATGCAGCCTGTAAAACATTTTTATTCTCTGTTTTTGCAGCATTTTTTGTGCTTCTACGAATACATCTATCTATGCTGTGGGGATCAAACCGGGTACTTGCAACCTTTTCAGAGCACAAGCGCTCTGCTCTAACCACTAGGCCAACACTCCCCTGATATGAAAGTTTGTTTGCAAAGTTTTCAATTAAAGCTTATTTTATTATCCCTTTTGCTATATATCCAATTAAATTAAATTCAGTTTATTTCTATAGTGCCAATTCACAACCCATTTCATCTCAAGGCACTTTACAGTTCACCAGATCATCCAGTCAAACTGATTCAAAGTTTTCTATCTAAGGAAAACCAGTTGATTGCTTCGACTCATTGACTCGAAGGCAATCACACTAAGCATGCTTGTAGCGACAGTGGAGAGGAAAAACTCCCTTTTAACTGGAAGGAACCTCCAGCAGAACCAGGCTCAGTGTGAGCGGCTATTTGCCGAGGCTGACTGGGGTTCAAGGAGACAGAAGCAGAGATACTAAGGGCAACTGTCAACCAGCTCCACAGGTGGTTTACAGTTGTTTATATGTATGAGTGTTGAAAGCATTTAATGCACGCTATACTACTACACCAACATGTGACTTTTGTTCACTCCTGCTCTTGAACATATTATTAAACTTGACTCACATGATGAGACTAATTCACATCCACATTGTAGCTCGCGGCAAAAACTCCTTCATTGTTCACTGTGTTCACTTTCTATCAATTATCTGATCACTTCGTAGTTCTGAAGGAAACTTTGAAGGTAAGGTGCTGTCTTCAAAAGCAGAAGACCCTCATTAAAGGGATTTGTTATGAATAGATTAATTAATTAACTCTTTTTCTGCATTAGGTCTGTCAAGGTTAAGTTGCATCCTTCCATCTTTTATTTTCATTTTGCTCAATAAAATTTCCCATCAGGGAAATAGTTTAATTGTCTGGTTTGGTTACTTTTGTATTGTTTTCTTTTAAACCTGGCAGTATATGATAAGTGGAAGTGCTAAAAAATGTTTTAACAGATACAAAAGAATTATAAATTGTTTAAAATTATTTAATTACAAACAAATGAACTGGTCCATTGCAACATCCAAGCACACACTCACACTTAAGAGCAATTTAGAGACATCAATTGACCTAACAGTCATGTTTATGGACCGTAAAAAAAGACAGTTGTAGTAACCACAGAGAGCTAAGCATGCACTGGGAGAAAGTGCAAACTGAATTCAGAAAGACCCCAGGCTGGGAATCAGCCAAAGTGCCACAAACTGTGCCATCATTCAGCCCCTAAAAATCAACAATTAAAATTAATAAAAAAAAAAAAGAAATTATGTTAATTATGTAAATATGTAATTTTCAAGTTTCAAACTGTGAAAAAAAAAACTGAATAAAAAAAAAAAATCCCTTTATCCCCAGTGATTTTTATTTGAAAATCTAATTTGATGGATGCTACTGTCATACAAATTACAACCTGGAGAATACATAATCCTTTCATTGTTAGGTCTTTTCTTCGTGATAAAATGTTGTGTGAAATGCAGATTTATAACCAAGCAAGAAAAGTCTTAGATAGTTAGTTTGGGATGCCTTCAAACAAAAACCTCTAAAAACAGTGGTGTGTATTTTTATTCCTTCCTTTCATTTACACACCAATAATTAATACCAACAACTGGCCCTTAGACTGCAGCAATCTAATATAAGAAAGTCTACCCTTGTGTAATTAGTTTTACTTTAAATCCAGGAAATGGAAAGAAGATGATACATCTGTAAATCTATCAAGGCCAAGTTTATTTAGCTATGCACTACTACATGTCCTACTGTAGGACTGTCCTGTTATAAAAATCCAGCTCCCACTGAGATACTATGCTAATGTTATGGAAAATAAAGTAATCCAAACTGAACTGGCCCAACATGAATGGATAAGTCTCTTGTCTTGGTTTGACTCTGTTCTACAGGGTTCAGTTTTTCTTCTATCAAATTGGCTTTGCCCAACTCCACCAAACTTCTACCAGCTTCTTTCTTTTTCTTATCTTTCATTACTGGACAGACTGATTAATCCAGGTTTGTCTGACCTCAGTAACCATAACGACAAAGACTAACCTGGATTAATCAGTATTTCTAGTGGTAAAGATAGGCTCTGTGTATGCATCTTGAAGCTCTATCTCTCCGGTTCTTATTCCTGAAAAGAGATCACTTGGGACAAACTCTTTGAATAACATTTCATAACTTCTATCTATTAAATAACCAGGAGACATGGCAACAGATTCTGATAGAAATTGTAATTTTACTCAGATCAGAGAAGTTGCTTAGATTTTACAGAAGGCAGCTGCTCACATCCTGGCTCACCTCTCAGGAAGTGTCCCTGATTATCAGATAAAGAGACATTTTATACATCTCCAGTCTGCCATATCGTCACATCATTACATCATACATGTTAGCAGATGAGGCTCCAGCCTTATCAAAATATTAAACTTTGTTCTTAACAGAAGGACACCGCTCTAAATGTATTCCTAAATATTTTCCACGTACAGAATGATTATAATTGTATATCCAGACAGAGGAGCTGTCTTAACCAGATAAACTATTGTGGAAAACATCAGTTCTAACATGCATCAGACAGCCAATACCAAAGTGTAATACACTCATACATCCTCAATGATAATTATCCTAACACCAGCAATAAAAGACAGGAAGCAAAGGAGCTGGGTGAAGTTCAGCAAACAGTGGAGTTGGACATATTAAAGAACATCACAATGCAATGTTGGCCCCACAGTCCCAAAAAGGAACTTAATGGGATTTGAAGGGTCCCAAATACCACTGAGCCATAGGCAGCTGCTCAGTTGAATATATTAGTTCTTATAATGTATGTGACATCACACCTACTCAGATTTTCCAACCTCTAACCATTGAAATTTTGTAACTTCATGAAAAGTTTAGCAAAGTAAAACATGGACGTGAATGAGCGACAGCTCTTACTAGTGAGAGTTTGTAGATATAAAAAATCTATAAACATCTTATCAAAACAAGCAACAGATTGCCAAGCTTTTATTTCTTCATCTTTTGCGTGGTGTACAGAAAGAACGCTAATGAATTCCCCACTGCTGTTCCAAATCTGGAAGCCATTAAGTGACGGAAATGCTCATTGATGATGCTCCTCAAATTGGGATTGCAAAAAAGACATAAATGTAGTTAGAACTAATGTTCTCCACTGTGAAGGTGTGTATATTAGCATGCACCACACAGAGTATATACAAAAATCAAACATTTTTGTTAGTGTGAGTCTAGCTGTGCTTATATGTTCAGTCTTGTAAAGGATTGTGGGAATTTGTGTAGCTCCTAACTGTCAGATAGGAATGCCAGGAGGTCATTATGCTAAATGAACTATCAAAAGGAAGCACCCTGCTTCCTTTTCCTACAGTATCTCCTCCCTTACTGCCACCTTAATTTGGACAGCACCTGTCATGGCGACCGCTGATGCACTTTGCTTTGCATAAGAGTCCTCACTGATTTGATGAAATTGGATTGACTAAATGCTTGAAACAGCAGTGTTCTCTAGTTCCACATGTAGTGTGGTGTTGTAAGCTTGGATGTGTCCTACACTGCCTTGTATGAATTCGGTACAGCCTGGAAAACCACACCGAATATAAAATGCTGCAAAGACTGTCTCAGCAACATTCCAGGGAGGACCTTGACACCTCAAATATAAATCAGCCTTTAGTCTTGCATTCCTCAAATCTAGTCTTATAGGAGAGTGCTAAAAGGAAAGTAATTGTGGAAAGAAAAACATTAAGTCTTGGAAGGTGCTACCTAGTGGACACAACATGAATATGGTAAATGGTAAATGTACTTATATAGTGCTTTTTCAAGTCAGGAGACTTGACCAAAGCGCTTTACACTACATTCAGTCATTCATCCATTCACACACACACTCACACACTGATGGTGGCAAGCTACATTGTAGCCACAGCTGCCCTGGGGCTCACTGACAGAAGCGGGGCTGCCGTATACTGGCGCCACCGGGCCCTCTGACCACAATCACTAGACAATGCAGGTGAAGTGTCTTGCCCAAGGACAAGGGCGACACCAGGACAACACCAGGGCGACGCCACTGTCGCCCTGGTACAGTAGACGGTGCTTTTCTTTAGGTCAAATCAAAATTCAACTATTTGACCAACTTGCAAGGCTCTAGGTGTTGTAAAAAACCAAAACTGGACCTACAATCCAACACTGAAACATAATGATGTAGGTAATACCAGTGGAACACACAAACTGTCTAAACGTGATTTACGTCTATGTGGTGATACTGTAACGATGTTCACCATCACTTTTACTGTAATTGTAGCAGAAAGCTTTGATGCAAAGCATGAATCAGAAAGGCCTAATACGAATTCATGCAACTCTTGTCATAGTTTTGTTTGTAGAAACTTTAAAGCTCACATACCATGTGTTGTTCTATCACATTCTTTTGTCACCTGACAAAACCTGAACACATTTAAAGGTTTCATCAACAAAGTGAGAAAGTGTTCTTGACTGATATTTTCATGCCTTCTTTGTGCTCTGAGAAGTTTTTGCGTGAGGAATCAAATCTGCTTAACATTTTAGTTGCCTTTATGTCCTGTTAAGGTAATGAGGTTTTATCGTCGTGTAGCATTAAAGTAATCCATGCAAGTCAAATGGTATACATGGGGGGGAGTTTAAAAGCACCAGGCATGCAGTAGGTAAAGAAATGAAGAAAAAAAACTGAAGAGCTTAAAACTAGTGTCCTCGGTGAAAGTTCTTAAATCAAATTGAATGTTTCCATCCCACCATAAAACTCCAGTTACGATTCCTGCAGACTCGGAGGCAAAGACTATAACACAGAGGAGAAAATAAAAGCTGGCGATTTGAGCTGAGACTCACATCATGGATGGGATTGGGGACGGTGTGTTAGCCACCTCAAGGGTGGTACCTCTGTTGCAGCTCCA